ACTAAGCCTGGTTAGTATTGGATAGAAAATTATCAGGGAATACTAGGCTGGGAAGCCTAAAAACAGTGTAGAAGATGAGAGTAATCACCTACTCTCATTTTTGCCAAGAAAATTATGTGGATGTCTCTATGAAATCACCAAGAAATAAAACTGATGCAAAAGAGATTTCACCTTTAAATGATATCACAAAGGAGCCATTTATTGGAGGACATAGTGAGGATGTTCTTATGACTCATTCTGGTCCTCCCAGGATGCTGTCTATTCTCCCCAGTTAATGTCTGTGGTATGAGTCACAGAATGCAGTTCCAAACAAAATTTTGGATTATAGTCACCCATCATTTTCATGTTCTCAAAATATTATCGTAGAATATAGTAGAGGCAAGGAATGTTGTGGATCATGTCCCCTAAGGAGGTACATTTGGCGAGACCCAGAAGAAAGGCCTTCTTCGTGGTGGCTCCCTCCCTCTGGAACATCATCCCTCCAGAAATTAGATGGCTCCCACTCTTTTGGAAGTCCTTGAAGATGTGGTTTTGCCAGTGGGCCTGAGGAACCCAGAGTGGGATGGAGCCCATTAAATGGCGGATTTGAGTGTGTGATGTCACCAAGGAGGAGTGGGGGGTTATAATTTTATTATTTTTTATTATTTTTATTTCTTGTACATTGTTTTTTGTCTGTAAGCTGCTAGAGTTGCCATGAGCGAGTAGGCAGCTATATAAATTTTCTAAAATAAAATAAAATTTTTAGGGGCACAGATTCACTAAACAACCAGGTTACTAGCATCAACTTTAGTGATTCAACTGTGGCAAGAAAGGTTGTAAAATGGGAAAAAACCCATTTAACAACTGTCTCACATAACAGCAGAAATTTTGGGAACAATTGCGGTCCTAAGTCAAGGACTACCTCTACTAAATTCATGTCCCATGATCACTGTTGCCCACTGTTTAGTCAGGAAGAGACAATTAGGGGAATAGAGACAAAATTAATGAAATAGCAGAGTAGCACAGAGTATACCCTAAGCAAGACTGTGAAAATGGCTTTATAATAGAGACGAACAACTAATACGTTGCAAATATATTGCCCTTCCTCAATGAATTAGACTATTACCTATCCATGCCAGTGGTGAAATCCAATTTTTTTTACTACCGGTTCTGTGGGTGTGGCTTGGTGGGTGTGGTGTGGCTTGGTGGGTGTGGCTTGGTGGCATGGCAGGGGAAGGATACTGCAAAATCTCTATTCCCACCCCACTCTGGGGCAAGCCAGAGGTCGTATTTGCCGGTTCTCTGAACTACTCAACATTTCCGCTGCCGGTTCTCCGAATTGCTCAAAATTTCTGCTACTGGTTCTCCAGAACCTGTTAGAACCTGTTGGATTTCACCCCTGATCCATGCCCAATAATATCATCTCCTTTAAGAACATGCTGGATGGTTGTTCAGACTTTTTGGTAATTGCTAGGTCAGGGGAAAGAGATGGAATCATAGCATACATTCAAGGTTAGGTTGAACAATATGCTTATGAAGGAATGACTCTTGAAAAGAGCAACTAAGGTCCCCAGGTCATCAGGGACTTAGCAGGAGTATCATTTCCCTTGGCAATATTTAAAAAAGGTTCATCTTGTAACACTTGTATCCTATTTCAGTGTTTGCAAAGGGTGTGTTGCGTTCACTTTTGTAGAGATGTTCTCACTTGCTGAAATCTCTATCATTTCACTTTGTTAGGATGATGACCCAGAGAGATGCAGCTTTTAGAATGTACTTGTTGAAGTGATAAGGAAAAAAAAAAGATTATTACGTTAGAAAGGAATGAGACTCACTGAAGAATGATATAGTGAATGGGGACTTAGCATGTAAAGGGTTTCAGTTTCCTTAGAATAGAAACAAGGAAAAAAAAAAGAAGACAGATTTATACAAGAAAAATGCTTGGATGAGCAATCTAATAAGATAGAAAATTAGTTTATAGGGTTTTAATAGGATCTGATAAAATGGAATAGAATATGCGCAAACATTAACATTCTAAGCTGTTAATTGATGGTTTAAATATTCATGTGCAAAAACCCCCGGTATCTGTGATTTATTCTGATCCTCAATTTCCTTTTATAAAGCAATCAACTTCAATTTGCTTGATTGTACCCTATTATATAAGACGTAGAACCAGATTTTACAGAGTTCAAAGGGATTTATTCCAGCTCTGTATGTGTATGTGTGTGTAATATGAGAGAGATAACTACAATTTAACTTTTGCAAAGCCACACACAGGTCAACCTATCTCACATTTACATTTCTGTGAGGACTGTTTTTGATTGGGTATTAAAAATATATTTTAAAGGGCAATCAGGCTGACACAGTTGAGGTCTAAAATACCATAGTTTTAATTGAAACTCTTTGAAGCCAAGCTATACAAATATGACACAAGACTAAGGTTAGAAATCAAGATGACCACTAGATGTCAGTAAAAAAAAGAAAACGTGGAAGTTTCTGTATCTCATGGCTGCCATCTAGTGACCATACCGCGCTTGACAGCTCCTTATATAGCAGAGCTGTCAACGAAACAACCAATGAGAACAACGGCATTCTAACAGCTAATCAGAACTCTTCAACTTCCTGGATATGCAACAGTTTCTGTATCTCATGGCTGCCATCTAGTGACCATATGTATGTTTTTTTCAAGTCATATTAGGTATAGGAATGTTCAGTCTATATTTTTCCAATCTAGTGAAATTACAACCTGAGGGAAAATTAGAAGTTATAGGTATGATTTTAACTAGAAAATGGTGCAAAAAACGGGTAATTTCCCTTCATTTCAGCTTGACGTCCATTGAAACGGGACTTTTTTTAACCCATTGAAAACATTTTTAAATGCATAATATTTGGAAAATAATTTGTCCAATTTTTGTATAGACCATTGGTCATTTCCATCTAGAAAAAGAATGTGGCCAAGAAGCCAACTCTATCACATCAACACCTTGCCACAATATAGGCTTTCTCTAATTGTACCAGGTGAGAATGCTTCAGGAGGAGACTTGATGACATCTTTGAGGGTAGTAGGTCCTCTTGATGTTCATTGTTTACTTGCAATTGGATACCAAAACTAATTTGAGATAACAAGCATAGTTCAATCAAGGTTAATTCTTAACATCTAGTAAAAGCTGAAATTTACCCTAAGATCAGTTTCTTGTATAAGAAGAGTTATACCAGATATGTCCAAAGGCTAATGTGTTCCCTAAGTACAGTAGCCAATCAAAGACTTGCTAGAAATCTACAAACAGATTATGAACTTCATAATCCTATGTACCAGTGGTAGGTTGCTCCTGGTTTGGTCCGGTTCTATAGAACCGGTAATAAAACCGGTTGGAGGCTCCACCCACCCGCCACGACGTAATCATGGGTGATCTGCGTACATGCTCCCATTGCGAACTGGTAGTAAAGGTAAGTGGAACCCACTCCTGTTATGCACATTGTCTTTCTCAGCAACTGGTACTGACTGTCTCTAGATGCTGCAGGTAATACTGTGTTTCCCTGAAAATAAGACCGGGTCTTATTTTCTTTTCGGCCCAAAAATAAGTACCAGATCTTATTTTCGGGGGATGTCTTACCCGCTTATCTTAGGACCACCGCAGCCACGCCTCCCATGCCCTGACACCTGTCGTGCTGCTGCTTGACTTCTGCGGCCGTATTTTTGGGGAAACATGGTATATAGCTAATGATTATTAGCCATTGATTGCCTTCAAGAGCATGAGTCTTATTTTAAAATTGTTTAGCTTGGTAATCAATTCTCTTCCCTGCAGTAGTAAATCTCACAGTCCTTTAGAACAGAAAAGCTTTCCTGCAATCATAATCTGACTTCTGCAGAGTTCAAAGAAATTATGACTATTTTTTGTAAAAAACATCCCAAGGCAATTTCTCTGAAAATTGATTCATGCCATACCATATAACATATTACTATTTTTTTTAAAAAAAACGGTGTTAATTTCTCTGATTTGTAAATAGGAAATATCAAACTGGTGCTTTTCGGTGTCAGTGTAGGTAGCAATTAGGAATTTGGGATTGTGGTGCCAGCTAATGTTCATGGATTCTTGTTTTCAATTGATATGATGTTTTTCCCAAGTTATTTGCAATTGTTACAGTTGATTTGGTAAATTACATTGTTTCTTGCATCCTTCTATATCTTGTCTTTGGTTCTGGATAATTCCTGGCAGAGTATGGTTATGGGTTTGTGGGCTATTGTTATTCCTAGAGGTTGAAGAATTTTGACTGTCATTGTTACATGTTTGTTATTATTTTAAATTAGGACCAAATGGAGATGAAGACATAGTTGCAGAGATCAAGGGACGACGTTTCTGTCCTTCTTTGATAACCACCCATACTTGGGAAGAATTCAATTTTGCTGGCCACAGGATCAAGATTACAGAAGCTACAGACAGTTATGGAGCTGTGGTTTGGCCTTCGGTATTGCCATGCAATATTATTGTCTTTGGTATCTGAAACAAAGTACAGGCCTATATCTGCCTTGGAAATAAGGCCATAGAACAGGAGTGAAATGCTCCCGGTTTGGACCGGATTGCCCAATCCAGTAGCGATGGAGGCGGGTGGTTCGGAGAACCGGTAGCAAAAATCCCTGCACTCCCCCCCCCATGCTCAGGTGAGCTGCGTGATCATCAGAGGCTGATTTTTTTACTTTTAAAAGCATTTTTTCTACAACCTCTTCGGCCAAAAAAATGCTTTTAAAAGTAAAAAAAAAAAAAAAGCCTCTGATGATCACGCGGCTCAGACGGGATTGTCAGAGCCTTTTAAAAGCATTTTTTTCTGCAACCTCTTCAGCTGAAGGGGTTGTAGAAAAAAAAATGCTTTTAAAAGCCTCTGAGATCCCAGCTGAGTTGCCCGATCGTCAGAGGCTTTTAAAAGCATTTTTTTCTGCAACCTCTTCAGCCGAAGCCACACCCACAGAACCAGTAGTAACAAATTTTACATTTCACCACTGCCCTAGAAGTAATTAGCTTACCTTGCTTCCTTCTTGTTAATGCAGAGGGGACTTCCCTTCATCATTCCGCTGAATTTCTGATTTAGTTTTGGGCTAAGAACCTATCCTCTGTAGTTAGCACAGGAAGCAAGCAAGTTGGCTGACCAGGATGGAGTCTTGTCTTTCCTGCAGTACTCCACTCACGTCCCATGGGATTCCTAATCACCTATGGCCACAAGGAAAATGATTAAATATATGAAATACAGGTAGACCTTGCTTATCAAATGCCTCATGCAATGGCCATTTGCCTCTATAAGGGTACAAAAAACCACACCTTTGCACCCAAGGTACATATTTATGACCTTTCCACTCTCTCTCAGTCACATGTTTCTCATTATACTGCTTTCGCACGTATCTTGTGCCTCACCTGCTTTTTCTTCTTTTACCCTTCTTGTAGTGTGAGAGGTACCTAAATACTCTCTTCTGGGCCTGACTGTTTTTTTTTTCTCCTCCCCTTCTCACAGAGCAGAGAAATTGGAGAGGAAGGGACAACAAGAGAGTAATCAGGTACACAATGGGAAATATACATCGAAAAAATGTGTAGCATCATCTGGTTGCCTAGTATGCTTGGGGTTGGGAACTGCAAATGTTCTAGGCAAACAGCTGGTACTTACTCATTCCTTTTGATGTGCCATTTTGATTTCCCACTGTGTGCCTGTTTACTCCTTTTTAATCCCTTCCTCTCCAATGAATGTTAATACAACCATTAAATCCATTCCTGCTAATTATCTCAGTGCTGGAGTGAGCCTTCCAAAGGTGAGGAGAGTGGGGAAAAAAGGGAAGCACAGTTGCATCATGTGATTTCCCATGTATCAACTGTGTCACAGAATTGCTGATCCCCATTCTGGTTGCTAAACAAGCACTACATGTATTTGGATTTTTTTGTGTAAAATTTGAAAAAAACAATGCTCAAAAATATAAATGTGGAAAGTCCACACACAGTGGAATATTAAGGTTAGGACTTCCACATCTCTATTCTTGGACAGTGGAATATTAAGGTTAGGACTTCCACATCTCTATTCTTGGGCAGATACAGATTTAATATTCACGGATCAAAAGGGAATCTTTTGACAATGTAATTTATCAGATGTCAGAAGCGTGAAATTATCTTAGATTTATTAAAAGCATAGCCCACCTCTCTTTTATCAGTAATGCTCCTAGGCAGTTTCAGTCCAGATTTTGAACATATTTTATTTGCTCTACATTGCTCTTTATGACCATTGCCTATATTTCAAATTAAAAAGTATGCCATTCACATGTTGCATTTTCAGAAGCATTTAACCATGAATCATTAATTAGATGATACTTAATTCTGTTGTAACATCCAAATCTCACTGTCTGAGTGCTCCATTTGGGTTGGACCTCCCCTCCTCTGGCCCATTTAACTCTGTCCACTTCTCCTTTTGGTGCTTTACCCACTGGATTTTTTCCTTGTTGGTGACAATCCATCAGCCTTCCACTCTCTTGCCATTGACTGAGAATTGCCAACGATAATGTGTACTTCCAAATACACTTGCAAATATGGAGCCCCAGCTGAGCAGAATGCTGTTGGGAGAGAAGCCTTGTACTCCTCCCCCCCACTTTATCTCTTATTCACTCTCAAGTAGCCTTTTTTTTTTCTCCTTAAGCTCTCCCTTTCTAGAGAAACCTTCTAGACCAGGGGTGTCAAACTCAAGGCCCGGGGGCCAGATCTGACCTGCAGGATACTTCTGCCAGTGAAAATGAGCTCCCAAGCTCCGTTTTCGGCTGCCACGGCCTCCTGCAACCCTTTGCCAGTGAAAACGGAGCTCAGGAGGGCCTTCCTGAGCTCCATTTTCATTGGCAGAGGGTTGCAGGAGGCTGTGGAAGCCAAAAACGGAGCTCAGGAGCCTGGTTTTGCTGGCAGAGCGCTCGGGCCTCCACAGGAGCCCCTATGGGTGTGATGTTGAGCTGGCCACACTCTGGCCACACCCACCCCATCCCACTGAGGTCAAACACAACCTTGATGTGGCCCTCAATGAAATTGAGTTTGACACCCCTGTTCTAGACTAAACCTCTTCAGTTCTTCTCCAGTCCCAGCTCTACAGCTCATTGTTACAGTTTTCTAATTTCTGAATATTTTTTATGCCAGTTTACTCTTTGGGACAACTAGCTTCCATATCAAGAAGTTTCCAATTCTATATTCTTTCACTGCTCTAAACTGTCCAACTTTTTGTCTGCAGCAACAATTCATTTTGTCTTAATCTCATCTTCTATTTGCTTTTTCTGAAAGTTCTTATCCCCATTTGATTCCAACTTCCCCCAATTACAGCCCTTTGCAATTAGATAATATCATTCTCTACCAGTTTGCTCCAAATATTAACTTCAGCACATCATCCTGATTGTAAAAGAATGGGTCAAGGGTGCATGGAGATATACAAACCCAGACAGTTAGGAGTGTGTGATATTAAAATGATAATTATCTTTACAGTATATTTTACTAATATATACCAATAGACATTTGGTTCATCACTCCAGAAATTCAACCTGATTTAGATAAGCCTTTGTTCCAATCCTGCACAAGCAACTTGTGTAATGGGTTAGTATGATCCTAAACATTTTATTAAAGAAGATATCAGAATCTGAAAATAATGTATTGTGTGACATTTATATTGTAATTTAAAAATGTTAATTACCAAGGGTAAAAGGTGTTATTTCAAAGCAAATCTTCATCTGCCAACTACTAAAGTTTACAGTTGAAACAAAGGGATGAAAAAAGAATGAAACAAAAATAATAGCAATTACCTTATTAGCAGTTGGCTTAAGGTGAAAAGATATTTGATCCTGGAAGTTATTCATGTGTGCTTTGTTACCCATGATTCAGTTAGATGGAATGATAATGGATGGAGACAGTTCCATTCTCTTATCGAAATCAGTGGTTCACATTGCATTTTATTTATTTAAAGAAAAAGGAGAAAAATACTGTAAATCTCAAGAAGTCTAGTTTTATACTATCCCTCACATGGTATGCATCAGGGGTGGGTTCTAATTTTTTTTACTATCGGTTCTGTGGGCGTGGCTTATTTTGTGGGTGTGGCTTGGAGGTCATGTGACTAGGTGGGCGTGGCTAGCTGGTCAGAGTCATTTCTGGAAGGTCCTCGCACTTACGACCAGTCCTCGCACTTACGACCCGACTCATTTGTTAGCTTTTAACACTGATTAGCTGTAGGACGGCCCTTTGAAGCCTCGTGGCAAGAGTTTAAACAATTTTCTTCCCTCTAGTCATCAGCTGGGACTCAGTAGGCAGCAATAGATTGGGGGTGGGACCAAATAAAAGGTAAGAATAATGTGGGTGGGTAGGAGGGTGGGAGGTCATATCGTCACCGCTACCGGCTCGGCTGAACCGGACCAAACCGGGAGGAACCCACCACTGGTATGCATGCTTTTTGCCCCTTTTAATTCTGAACAATTAGGAATTGTTCCTAAATATTATGGAGATTCTCAGTCTTCCAGATCATGGCTGTCCCAAAGGTGCTTTTCCAAGAGGCAACTGGAGTTTCTGTTTTTTTTTTCTTTGAAGACTTTTTGCTTCTCATCCAAGAAGCTTCTTCAGCTTTGGATGAGAAGCGAAATATATTGTTCCTAGTTCCCGTTTTTGGCAGTAGCATGCTAGCTGTCCAGAATGGCACCGATAACAATGTTGGGAAGGTTTAGAATAGACATGGTCAGGAATTAATTGCATGGTGCTAGAAGACCAGGGATGGGCTTCAAAAATTTTAACAAGGGGTTCTCTGCCCAGTTGCTGGGTGGATGTGGCTATGGTGGGCATGGCCTTGTCGGCCTCCTGCACCATGGTGGGGAGGCATTTTTGCCCTTCCCGGGCTCTGGAGTCTTTCCTTGAGCCTCTGGGAGGGTGAAACAGCCTCACCAGGCTCCGGAGACCCTCTAGAGGCCAGAAATGGGCCTGTTTCTGGCCTTCCTGAACTTCCGGTAGGCCCGGAAGGACCCGGAAGGTCCTGAACTTCTGGTAGGCACTCCCCAAGCCTCTGCATGTGGAGGGAAGCCTCCATACTTACCTGCATCCAAAATGGGCCACTTGGGGACTTCTGGGAAGGGCGGGGCAGGTGGGGTGAGCCAAGAGTGGGATTTGGGGGTTCTCCAAACTGCACAGAATCTTAGCTAGAGGTTCTCCTGAATCCCTGTGAACCCCCAGCAGCAGAGGTGGGTTTCAGCAGGTTCTGACCAGTTCTGGAGAACCGGTAGCGGAAATTTTGAGTAGTTTGGAAGAACCAGTAGTAAAAATTCTGACTGGCCCTGCCCCCATCTATTCTCTGCCTCCCAAGTCCCAGCTGATTGGGAGGAAATGGAGATTTTGTAATAACCTTCCCCTGGATTGGGGAGGGAATGGAGATTTTACAGTATTCATCCCCTGCCACGCCCACCAAGCCACACCCACCAAGCCATAGCCTGCCCACAAAGCCACACCCACAGAAATGGTAGTAAAAATTTTTGAAACCCACCACTGCCCAGCAGCCCACCCCTGTAGAAGACCCTTTGCTAAACAGGCCAGATAAACTCCCCTTGTAATTAACACAGCAGTTTTACAGTTTACAGCAGATGACTATTGGTTTCCGTATGTTTTGGGCTGCAAATCTCACCATCCCCTGGCATGTTGATTAAGAATCATGGAGCATTTATAATCCAAATAATCTGAAAAACCCTAGATTGGCCAATTGTCTAAAACCAGTTCATTTAAAACAACCTTGAGCTTCTCAATATTTCTCTAACTTCCTAAGATTCATGCTTTTCATACATACTTTTTGTGTCAAGAGATACTTTTGCTCATATAAACTGAAGTTTCTTTCTCCTCTTGGTTACTTAATAGTAATTAAAGGGTGGCCTCGTGGAGCGAAAGGCATTGTTTCATTATTCTTTTTCAGAATTGCCAATTGTCAGTTTATTCTTGTTCTTTTTCATTTTCAGGCTCTTGTTCTGTGCTATTTTTTGGAAACAAATGTGAAGCTTTGTAACTTGGTTGACAAAAATGTTATTGAAATTGGAGCTGGAACAGGCCTTGTGTCTGTAGTGGCCAGCTTGCTAGGTAAGTGGTAGTATCTCCTGCTGTGCCCTCCGTTTTAAAAATAGCACATGTGATACTCGTATCTTGAAGGACATAAAACAGGTGGAAAAAAAACAGGTGCAAAATCGATTTGTTCTCAGAGCACAGGCTCTTTGAACAAGACACCAAACTTGAAATTAGTATTTGTGGGTGTTAAATCCTTGCAGTTACGACTCAGCCCAAGCCTGCCCTGTTGCTGGTCATCCCTGATTGGCTAAGACGCGAGCAGCCAAACAGTTGGAAATCTCTGCTCTCCTATTGGTTCCTTCCGTCTGACAGCTCCTTATTTAAGCAGCTGTCAGACGGCAACAGTTCTGACAGTGTTACCGCTCGCGCGGAGCGGTAGTTGTCTTGTTTTGTTAGCTGTTGTTGTGTTAGCAATAAACATATTGTGTTTAAATAGCCAAGCCTCAGACTCTGCCTGCCCGGTTCTCCATACGGAGCAGTGGGGTTCATCAGTTTCTAAAGTAAACCGCTTAGGTGTTTGTACTTGGGCTGATGTGGATCAAATTCTAGTATGGGGAGCAATGGGCTTTATTCCCATGGACCTCTCCCATGGACCTCACTGCAGTCCTCTTTAAACACCTTGGATAGTAGCGGTTTAGTCCTGTTACTTGGAAGAGCCTGTAGTAAATGGTCTGAAGTTATCTAGTGAGCTTCCTGAGTACTTTGGCAATGTGACCCTAAGCCCATAGTGATTCATTGAGCCTACAAACTTAATGTACAGTTGTGGAGTGCCTTTCTGCTCAAGTTTGTTCTGCTTACAGTTGTAAGTTGAATAAATATTACAAAACTATAATCCAAAATTGCCCTGGAATTTCATCAAGTAAGGAACTGGAGAACACATAAGAATATTGTGTTTCCTGCAATGGGCCACAGCTCATCATTTTTGCTTATGCCACAGGGAATTATAAAAAGAATTTGCACTAGTTTCATCAACTCTCCTCAATAAATAATGTCATTGTGGTCCCTTTTGTCACAGGTGCTCATGTGATTTCCACTGACTTGCCTGAAGTGCTAGGAAACCTTCAGTACAATCTTGTCAGAAACACAAAACTGAAATGCAAACATGAGCCTCAGGTGAAAGCTTTGGTCTGGGGGGTGGACCTGCAGAAGAATTTCCCCAGATCTTCATCTCAGTTTGACTATATATTGGCTGCTGATGTTGTATACAACCATCCTTACCTGGAGGAGCTGCTTCTAACCTTTGATCATTTGTGTATGGATAATACCACCATCATCTGGGCCATGCGGTTCAGACTGGAAAGTGAAAACTGGTTTGTGGACCAATTCAAAAAAATGTTCCATCTGGAAATGATTTCTGATTTTCCTAGTTTAAATATAACCCTGTTTAGAGCAAAGAAGAAGCCAAAACAACTCCAATGAATACATCCTGCCTGTTGGTTGTTGATAATTAGCCAGTGTAATAGAAAAGAATAGAATTATTTATTGGCCAAATGTGATTGAACATATAAAGAATTTGTCTCTAGTCCATAAGCTCTCATTGTACATAAAAGCAACAAGTGATAAATCATGATCATAAATAAAAAAATACAATAATCATAAATCATAAGATATATGACTGTGATAGTCATAGGCTACTAAATATCCAATCAACGTAAATTCTAAGATACAACCAACAAAGTTATAGGAAGTTAAGGAAATATGTAATAGGATCAAAATCAAGCAAGTTAATTTGCCTGATTTTCCACTTCTGAATGTGCAAAGTTGCTGGAGTACTCAAATATTTTATTTCTTATCAACATTTCAGTTTAACAACAGATCCAGGCTACTGTGATGATGATTATTATAAAACTAAAATTCAGTTGCATGATTTTATATGAATAAGTTATGAACTGCCAGGTTAACCCTACATTCTCAATTGATATTTTGATTATTTCAAGGGTGGCAGGTTAACCTGCTGTGATAAAGTAGAGAGAGATGGTTGCTTCAAGGCAACACATATTGTGTGTGCAGGAAAGTGGGCTATGTATCTTTACTTCTGATAAATGCTATTCCACTGATAATGCCTAAGGAAGACTCAATTGCCTGCCTTATCAACTTTTATTTATTTATTAAATTTATATCCAAAGCTTGTCATGTTTTCTGGAAAGGAGTAGGGGTAATGGCTAATTCCCATTAAGTAATAACCAGGACTGAATTTTAATAGTTGTAATAGTTATAGTGGCTGTCAGGAATTGGGATGTATTAAAAAAATGAACACCCTTCTAAAGCTTCATGTTTTCCTTAATAAAAGGGATGCTATTTAATTATCATATTGGCTCATATTCCTCTGTTTAACATTTTCATCTTCTTCAGACTCATCATTAAAACTAAGACCCAGATAGATCAACGAACAAGCCACAATATTAGAACATAGAATAAAGAGTTGGAAGGGACCTCAGAGGTCTTTTAGTCCAACTCCCTGCTGGAGCAGGAAACCCTATATAATTTCAGACAAATGGTTGTCCAGTCTCTTTTTGAAAGCCTTCAGTGATGGAGCACCAACAATTTCTGAAGGCAAGTTATTCCATTGGATAATTGCTCTCACCGTTAGGAAATTTCTCCTTAGTTCTAGGTTGCTTTTCTCCTTGATTAATTTCCAACCATTGTTTCTTGTTTTGCCTATTGGTGCTTTGGAAAATAGCATGAGCCCCTCTTCTTTGTAGGAGCCCCTGAAATATTGGAACAGTGCTATCATGTCTCCCGTAGTCCTTCTTTTCTTTAGGCTAGACATACCCAATTCATGTAAGCTTTCTTCATATGTTTTAACCTCCAGACCCCCTAATCATATTTGTTGGTCTTCTCTGCACTCTTTTCAGGGTCTCAACATCTTTTTTGTATTGTGGTGACCAAAACAGGATACAGTGTTCCAAATATGGTCTTACTAAGGCTTTGTAAAGCGGTACTAGAACTTCATGTGATCTTGATTCTATCCCTCTCTTAATATAGCCCAGGATTGCATTGGCATTTTTTGTTTCCACTGTTGGCTCATATTTAAGCAATTGTCCGTTAGGACCCCAAGATTCCTCCCACAGTTATTGAAAGTGTTGAAACTGGGAGGCAGGAATAACTAATCCTCACATTAAGGAAAACTGTTTTTGTAGACATGGGCAGTTGGCAAAAAATGTCACTGTGGCTGTTGACTAAAGAAAATGGAGGGAGAGACCCAGAATTTAAACCTGGGAGCTAATATACATAATATACATATAGGAGACAAGATTTTAGGAGCTGTTACACAAAACCTTTTTAGACAGTAGTGACTTGTGTGTTCAATAAACCACCTTGAGTTTTGGAAGTAGGAGTTATAAAATGACTGCATAAATGAGGGATTCCTTATTCTTTGCAATAAATCTATTTACTTAACCTTCTCATAGCTGCTTGGAAATGTGAACCACAGCATTTAAACTGTCATTACTGGTACAAAGCCTTCACAGATCCAGGTTTGGAGAATATAGAAAGAGTAATTCCAGCCATATTATTTCTCTTTCATGTGCAAAACCTGGACTTTAAATACTTGAATAGATGACTGTGCACTTTTTTTTTTTATTGAAAAAGTTTTACAAGTACAAATTTTCCCATTTCCCCCCCTTTCCCTCCCTAACCCTCCCTAGCCCTCCCCTCCTCCCATAACTTCCCCAAGGTGAAATCCAAATCCACATCATATTATATCATACTTTACCGCCCTTCTAATCTCCCCCCTGTGTACTATACATTTCTACATAACACTGAACTATTCTACCCCCTATATACTATACATTTCTACACAACATTCAACTAAAAGCTATCTGATACTTCCTAGTTTGGTATTTATTCTGCACATAATCTATCCATTTCTTCCACTCCCATACATAAGTCTCTTGAGTCCGGTCTTTTAAGTATGCTGATATCTTCGCCATTTCTGCAAAACTGGCCACCTTCAAAGTCCATTTTTCAATAGTAGGCAAAACATCCCTTTTCCAATATTGACCAATCAGTAACCTAGCTGCTGTCACCATGTACAATATCAATTTTGTTTCACCCATTGAAAGATGACTGTGCACTTTAATGGTATAAATGCAGGCAGAGGTTCCCATGGTGCCCAGACTCTGACTCTGTTCCTTCCATCCAAATAGGATGTGATGGGGCATCTATCATTATTTCCATTATTTCTACTCCTCCACAGTTTCTTTTTTAAAAACATCTAGACAATGCTGTGGTAAAGAATGGCAAAGGACTGTTTTATACAGGAGGTTGGATTGGGCCAGTGGTGGTATTCAGCCGGCTCTATCCAGTTTCAGTGAACTGGTAGCGGCGGCTGCGGGAGGCTCCGCCCACCCACCCGGATGTAATCACATCCCATTTATCCACATTTTTGACGCTCTGCGCATGCACGCATTCATATTCGCGAACCGGTAGCAAAGGTAAGTGAATAGCACCCCTGGTTTGGGCCTACCTAGGGGTACAAATAACACATTGGAGTAAGCATTACTATCTTTAAATAAAAAAGTTATTTTTTTCAGAACTCGAAAGTTAAAATGGAACATATTTTTCTGTTCTGGTATGTTTTGCTGGACACCGGTACTCCTCAACTTACAACCACAATTGGGACTGGAAACACCGTCACTAAGCAGTGCAGTTGTTATGGGAGCCACACCTGATTTTATGATTTTTTTTGCCGTAGTATTAAGGAAATCTGGCTTCCCCCATTGATCACAGGGATAGTGTAGCAGTCATAAGTGCAAGAACCTGTCGTAAGTCACTTTTTTCAGATCCATTGACATTTCAAATAGTCACGAAATAACAGTTGTACGTTAAGATGCAGGGGTGAAATCCAGCAGGTTCTGACAGGTTCTGGAGAACCGGTAGCGGACAATTTGAGTAGTTTAGAGAACCAGCAAATGGCACCACTGGCTGGCCCCAGAGTGGAATGGGAATGGAGATTTTGCAATATCCTTCCCCCAGGAATAGGGAGGGAATGGAGATTTTGCAGTATCCTTCACTTGCCATGCCCACCAAGCCACACCATGCCCACCAAGCCACGCCCACAGAACTGGTAGTAAAAAAATTTGGATTTCACCACTGACCTGAACCCAAGTCAAGAGGTATAACTTCTAAATTGATAGGAAGAACAAATAAATAATTTGAATAGCAGACCTTGAAATCCTTCAGTCTCATTCTGTGACTCTCTTTCATATCTAAAGAAAGA